AAGTTTTCGCTAATAGTTAGTTGAACAGTGTATTGTGTACGAACTTCCCAAATTACTCTCACAACACAAACATGTCTAGCAACAATGTAATAATTTTCACTGTAGCAAATATTTTTTTCATGAAATAATTCAATAAATAAAAAACCTATGAAAATCATATTATATGAAATATATGTTACTCATTAAGTTGATGAATGAGCGAGGATTAGAGTAGCATACAGTTATTTTAAAAATATATAAGTTCAAAGTGTCATTTGGGTTGAATGAGATCGCATATTCTCATTATCGCTAATTCACTTATGTTTTTTTGCAATAGATTGTTCAAAATGTGCCTTAAAACTTTTATTTCCACCAGTGTAAAAGAATTTGTGTCATTTATGTCATAACCCGAACTATTAAGAATGTGTCATTTGTTAAATACTTACGGTCAACGCCGGTCAACTCTAACGGAAAAATAGTTTATGACACAAATGTCATATTGGATACTTTATGACACAAATGACACATTCTTAATAGTTCGGATTTTCTAGTGGTATTATCCCAAACTTTAAATATAAAAATCACTAAAATGTTGACATTATCAAATACCCCTTAAATCTCACAAATTACAATAATCATATTAAGGAAAAAATCATCCAAATGATAATATTGATTTAGGATTTATTGAAATGAGAAAAATTTGTCAAATATAATGTCATCCCCTAAAATAAATCAAAACTCAACATAAGAGGGCTAACAATACCCTCTGAGCAAAGGATAAGGGCAATTATGTTCTCTTACTCTCTTTTTGCCTTCCTCTTTTTTCCGGCTTAATTGCAAGTTTGGTCACCCGAATTGCTTAAAAATTTCACGTTTGCCACCCGAATTGATTTATTCCATTTATAGTCACTCGAATTAGTTGAACAGTCCAAGTTCGGTCACTCTCTGTTAACCTCCGTTAGACTCCGTTAATGACGGCCGTTAAGTGATGACGTGGCTAACAGAAAGACACAGTCAGCACATTTAAACATTAAAAAACGACGACCCGACCCGACCCGACCCGCCAGCTCACCCTTACCCGCCCAGTCAGCCATTCTTGCCCAAACCCGCGAACCAACCCAATTAATTGACCCTAAACCCAAACCCGAGACCCAACCCAAACTCGAAACTTAATAATCGAAACCCTTCATTGAAATTCCAACCTCGAACCCATCAATTGAAACCCCCCAACTTCGATGTCGATGCTGCAACTGAGGTTGCTCTCTTCTCCCCAGATCCAGGCGATTGCAGGCGAGGCCATCCAACGATGGGCACGACTCCGGCGAAGATTGACGACAGCGATGGGCACGACTCCGAACTCCGAAGCTCGAGTTCATCCCATATTCGATCTCTTCTTCCTCTGAAGGGCGACGACAACAACGGGCGATCGGTTGTCGATTCTGCAGGCGACTATCGATCTTCGGGTTAGTGGAAACTCATGGACCCAGCGCAGCTCAGACGACTGCTAGTCATCCCTGAACCCAAATGGGATTGGAGACGATTTGGTCGCTTGATTTTGACGGATTGTTTTCCCATCCTTTTCCTTCTGTCGGAGCCTAGATGGGGCAAATAGGAGGACAGAGGAAAAAAGCGACAGTGTCAAATATGGTCAACGGCGTGTCCACCTTCTTCTCGTCTTCGTCCAAGCAAACAGTCGTGGTTTCTCGATGGCGGAGGGTTAGGGGTTTGAACTTTGAAGGGGCTCAAAAGTTGCAGACCAATGGAGGAAGAAGGAGATGTAGAAAGCCAAACTTGTAATTTTGTTTATCTCTTTCAAAACCCTGATCCAACGCCAAATGTGGGATTGAACCCTAATCCTACATTCACATTTCCAGGATTTTTTTAATGAATCTCTCATCCAAACGGGGCCCTAGTCTAGGAGTACACGGTGATTTGGTTTGGCGGCCAGAAATTTTGTGGCAGTCAGCATTTTTGGAGCTCGAAACTTCAAGAAGCGAGCCCAAAATGCGATTGAGGTTGCTCTCTTCTCCCCAGATCCAGGCGATTGCAGTCGAGGCCATCCAACGCTGACAAGTGGTCGGAGGAGGAGGAAAGTGGTACCGATCAGGGCGGAGGAAGAAGAAGAGGGAGCGGCACCACTGCACCATTTATCATGCGCCAGCTGGATGGTTCTCCGCCGCTGTTCATATCTCCGATCTTGTTCTTGCTCTCTGAAGATGGAGAGATTGAGAGTACAGTGAGGAACAGAAGGGAAAGGGGGAAAAGGAAGAAATTGTTGTCGTCTGTGATTTACAATTCAGGGGGGTTGGGTCTCGGGTTTGGGTTTAGGGTCAATTAATTGGGTTGGTTCGCGGGTTTGGGCAAGAATGGCTGACTGGGCGGGTAAGGGTGAGCTGGCGGGTCGGGTCGGGTCGGGTCGTCGTTTTTTAATGTTTAAATGTGCTGACTGTGTCTTTCTGTTAGCCACGTCATCACTTAACGGCCGTCATTAACGGAGTCTAACGGAGGTTAACGGAGAGTGACCGAACTTGGACTGTTCAACTAATTCGAGTGACTATAAATGGAATAAATTAATTCGGGTGGCAAACGTGAAATTTTTAAGCAATTCGGGTGACCAAACTTGCAATTAAGCCTCTTTTTTCCATTTGTTCTTCCATCTCTCTCTCTCTCTCTCTCTCTCTCTCTCACACTCAGTTTTGTATCTCACCACTCTCCCCCTTCCCTTACTCTTTCTTCCCACCGCCTAGAATCGAGAGAAATTGAGAAACATCCCAATTACTTCTCGAACTTTGCGTTCGAAATGTTTCTTCTCCATTCACAGTCCATAATGTGAATCAGAGCACCTGAAACCAGGCGAACATTTGAGCGTTTATTCCTTGACGGAGCAAAGTAGTTTGATAGCTTGTGAATAAACTAATTACAAAAAGTGATAAAAACAATAATCGTTAAACCAATTGAGTGAGTGTATAGTTAGTTCATCGCTTAAACCATTTTATTTATCAAAAGAATCAAAATGCATAATCAGGTTCATCTTCACTTATTTACATGTATTTGTCGTACAAATTTATTACACATAAAAAATGATTTTGAACCAGCATATCGAACTAAATCTCATCTTATGATTATTGGATCCAATCATGTCAGATTAGAAAGAGGTCTAAGGCTATTGGTCAACTGTGTTAAAAATTAATAATAATAATATAAGAATTATATATCTATTCCATATGTTCAATACTCCAATTCAATATGCAATATTCGAACAAATGATATATTTTCAACCCCTTCCACAAACTTTTTAGACCAAAAAAACTCCCCCCCCAAAAACACACACACATTTGCAAAGAGATTCTAAATCTCAATCTCTTCTTCACTTTACTTGCTTCTAAAGTTATTATTGACGTTATTTGTTATTACTGCAGGCTATAAAAAAGACTTTTCAGCTCTGAAGTTAATCAAGAATGAGTTTATAAATGAGTGTTTAGTTGTATAAATTGGAAAATGTTTGAGTCTCGAAATAAACAATGAATGTATTTTATAAACCTTTTAGAATATGAGCCATCACATGTTGATGTGAAAACTACTCATTAATTGAAATTTTAAATGTTATTTTTAGAATATTTTATTTTATTTTATTTTTATCAAATTACGCATTTCTCCATAAAACATGAATTCACCAATATAGACTGTGTGGTGCTAGGACTTGTGCGCGAACCCTTGAAGTTTAACGTTTAGTAGTTAACCAGGCTAAAAGTTTAGAGAACCATTCACCTTTCGTTTGTACAAAATATTATTGCTTTGTAGTAGTTTTGAAAATTTATATTAATTTTAAGAATTCTACATGGTTTTTACATATTCAATGCTACATTCGATATGCATTATTTCAAGCAATGAAATTTGGGTTGAAATTTTAAGATTATCCGAAATTGTATAGGTTATAACAAAATTATAAATCAAGTATTAAACTTTGCTTTTCAGAAGATTTAATAAGCTAGCTAACCGTGATAGAAAAGTCAGATGCTTTTCAAATATTCACTTAGTGTATGTTTACAATTCAAGTAGATAAAATAAATTTGTTTAGTGTAATTGGTTGTGATTATTGTTTTTGTTTGAAGAGACCATGGTTCAAATCTTGATATTGATACTTTTTTATATGAAGTAGATAAATAATTGTGATGACAAACTTACTCTTCCTACTTTCACTCTCAATTCACGAAATTTCAAATGAAAAAACTTAAAACATTAAATGTATCTTATAGAAAGAGCTTCTTCAACCAAGTAGGAAATGTATTTGACCTGAAATTATTATATCTTATAGAAAGTGATTAATTGTGAAATCGGAACTGAAATAATATTGATTCAAACATTAAATATTAAATTGTATCATATGTATGATTCCGTTTAGACAAAATACATATGTGTAGCCAAAACATGGATCTTTGTGACAAATATAGTAATTATTTGTGACAATCTACACATAATATAACGATAAATTGGGCGCAATGATGAAAAAGAGCTTCCTAGGATCACTCTCATACAAGGAAATTTGAAATGAGACTCTCATTTTCATTTTTATCATTATATTATGTGTATATTTGTCACAAAAAATGAATATACTTGTCACAAAGGTCCATGTATTGGTTACACTTTTGTATTTTATCTAAACTAAACTACACATACAATCTAATATTAATGTTTGAATGACTGTTACTTGAGTTCCAATTTCAGAAATAATCTCTTTCCATAAAATATAAATAACTTAAGATAAAATATAAATATAGAAGCATCATCACCAAACATATTTATAGATTTTAATAAAAGAAATAGCTATAAACAATGTAGCGTAGTTGGTTACAATGTTCATTATTCATTAAATTGACCAAGGTTCGAACTCCAATAATATTTTTAATATATAAAAAAAACTGGGTGCAATAACGAAAATGACCTTTCTAGAATCACTTTGAGGCCAGAAATTTTAAATGGGACAATTGACAATTCCCACCCATGTTTTCCCTTATGTATATATCCAAAAGTAGAGAATGTACCAACAAGAAAAAACAAGTAGAGAAACCCAGCCTTTGGTAGCCGTGAACTCGCATCAGGCACGCTGCCCGCCTGAAGCATAAGATTTTGCTGCGGCGGTTGACGAAGAGCAGGAGCCTTTTTCCGCGCAAAATAGTGAGGAGGGCATTTATTGACGAAATTCGTGAGGTGGACGGCCGGGAGAAAGGAGAGCAGAAATGGTGAAGGTGCGAATGAACACGGCCGATGTGGCCGCAGAGGTCAAGTGCTTGCGGCGGCTCATCGGCATGCGTTGCTCCAATGTCTATGATCTTTCTCCCAAGGTTCTGCTTCTCCTTCCATTCTCTCGTCTACGCTAGCAATTTCTTTTGATTACTATCAGAATTCAGAATCGAGAACTCGTTTGCTGTGATGGCACATGGCAGACGTATGTTTTCAAGCTGATGAACAGCAGCGGAGTAACGGAGTCCGGTGAGAGCGAGAAGGTTCTGCTGCTAATGGAAAGCGGCGTTCGCTTGCATACCACAGCTTATGTTCGGTAAATCATTTATTACGTTCTTGCTCTTTCCTGTTTTCGTTAGCTCGTCTTCCAAGCTCCAACGGCAGTGCTCAGCAATGGCTGAATTGTGATTGAAACGATCCTAGTTTGCTGAAATTTTCATAGATAATATAATAGGAAATGGAAGATTAGATTGGAGACTGAGATTCGTCTTAGTTATTTATGTTTGTTTGGCTGGTTGCTTGTTTAGCTTTAACTGGTTTGATGGAAAATGTACTATAGGGATAAAAGTAATACTCCTTCGGGGTTCACGCTTAAGCTGAGGAAGCATATACGTACAAGGCGCCTAGAGGATGTGCGGCAGCTTGGATATGATAGGGTATAAAACAACTGGAAATCCTTTTGATTTGGTTGTTTAGGGTGATGGCCTTTCGGTATCATCGCATCTCATCACTGTGCGTCCGTTCTCAGATTATTCTATTTTAATTTGGGATTGGTGCTAATGCGCACTATGTGATACTGGAGTTGTATGCTCAAGGGAACATCCTTCTCACTGATCCTGACTTTCAAGTTCTCACTCTTCTCATATCACCATTAATTGATTATTAGCTCAATTTTGAGAAACTATCATTTGAATGATGGAACCTTCTCCGTTACAGAGATGATGATAAAGGGATTGCAATTATGTCAAGGCACCGGTTCCTACTGAAATTTCTCGAGTTTTTGAGCGAACAACTGCTACAAAGTTGCAGGATGCTCTTACACGTGTTGATACACCTGAGGACACTGGTTCTGCTAAAATGGATGGTGGTGAAGCTGAAGTTACTGATAACCCCATAAAGGAAAAGCAGGGTAAGCTAAAAGGTGGCAAAGCTTCTGAGTCGAAAAAAAATTCTGATCAAGGGAATCGTGCCAAACAAGTAACACTGAAGACTGTTCTTGGGGAAGCATTGGGTTATGGTCCTCAACTATCTGAGCATATGATATTAGATGCTGGTCTAGTTCCAAATACAAAACTTTCTGCAAGTAACAAGCTAGATGAAGATGCAATACAGGTTTTGCTTGAGGCTGTCAAAAGGTTTGAAGATTGGCTACAAGACATTATTTCAGGTGAAAAAATTCCAGAGGGGTACATTTTGATGCAAAAGGACAATGTAGGCAGAAACAGTGCACCATCTGAATCTGGTGGTCATATCAAGGTTGCTTCTGTTTTATCCATAAGTCTCTCATCTTCATGCATGCATCCAGTGCTAATGCTTCTCTTTTTTTCTCTCCTTATTCTTGGCCATTCAGTTCCTAACAGAAGGTGCAGAAGACATAGATGGTTTATGCTATCTCTAACTTTGAGTATCAAGCTTAATTTAGGGAAAATGAAATTATTATGATAATTCATAAGGGTTAGAGCTAGTGCAGAAGAAATATAGTCTTAGGTATTGCTGCTTGAAACTCACAGTTTAGCTATCTACTGCAGATGTATGACGAGTTCTGCCCAATATTGTTAAACCAGTTCAAAACAAGGGAACATGAGAAGTTCGACACAATTGATTCAGCACTAGATGAGTTTTATAGCAAAATTGAAAGTCAAGGATCAGAGCTTCAGCAGAAGGCAAAAGAAGACTCTGCTGTTCAAAAATTAAATAAGATACGCACAGATCGGGTCTGTAGATTACCTCACTTTGATGTAAAGCGGATGGAGATTGTGTTTTTTCTAATTCTGTTGCCACTTTAGTCATGTTTGCTATATTGCAAACTCCAATTGCATTTTAAAGTATTTCTTGTGGTGTTATGATAGATGAAAATACTGTTTTATTTCAACATGTGCATAAATCAATAACTTTACTTTGATTTCACACACATGTCTGATCTCATAATCCAATAGAGGTGATCTGTTAAGAAGATTGCTTCCTTTACTGATGGTTATTAGGACAAGGATTTCTACATATTATCTTGATTGTCCCAGATCCTTTTTTTAGTAAAAAACACAAGTAAAGAATAGAAAGAAATTGTTTCTATTTTTCTTCATAATCTTTTTGAGCAACAGTTTGTATCTGCTAAGGTTTCAACTTTTAAATTCTATATGTTGTAGGAAAGCCGTGTGCTGAAGCTTAGGAAAGAAGTCGATCAATTTGATAAAATGGCAGAACTGATAGAGTACACTTGGAAGATGTTGATGCTGCGATCCTTGCTGTTCGTGTTGCTCTTGCCAAAGGAATGAGTTGGGAGGATCTTGCTCGTATGGTAAAGGAAGAAAGGAAATCAGGGAATCCTGTGGCTGCGCTTATTGACAAGCTTCATCTTGAAAAGAACTGCATGACATTGCTGTTGAGCAACAACAATCTTGATGACATGGATGATGATGAGAAGACTCTTCCAGCAGATAAGGTTGTCATGGAATTTTATTCGAGCTGTTAGGAATCTTAGTAATTGATGCTTTTCTAATTAATATGTTACGACCATCTGCTATAGGTTGTTTCAACAAAATATATCTAGTTGTTGGCATGTTTCCACTATCAGGTAGAAGTGGATATAGCTCTTTCTGCTCATGCCAATGCTCGTAGGTGGTATGAAATGAAGAAAAAGCAAGAAACTAAGCAGGAAAAGACTGTTAAAGCACATGAAAAAGCTTTTAAAGCAGCTGAGAGAAAGACTCGTATTCAGCTTTCTCAGGTAGCTGCCTATTTAGAGATTTCAGCTATTTACATCTAGCCTTTTCTTCATAAGACTGTATGTGATGTTGATTTATGGGTAATCTATATGCAGGAGAAATCTGTTGCTACAATATCGCATATTCGGAAAGTTCACTGGTTTGAGAAATTTAATTGGTTTATCAGCAGTGAGAACTATCTAGTTATTAGTGGCCGTGATGCTCAACAGAATGAGATGATAGTGAAGCTTTACGTGTCAAAGGGAGATCTGTGAGTGTGCTTTCATCCTATTCAAGTTCCTAAATGGGATAAATGTTTAAGCTTTTTATTGTTGGACATATATTATGAAGTGAAGATATTTGAAAGCAAAAGAAAAAATGTTACTCAGTTCCCCTGTTGAACAGGTATGTTCATGCTGAGCTACATGGAGCTTCTAGTACAGTGATCAAGAATCATAGGCCTGACCAAGCAGTTCCTCCTTTGACTTTAAATCAAGCTGGATGTTTCACTGTAAGCTGTGCTTCCTAAGTTCTATGAGGTGTGTTTGTTTCAGCTTGAACCCTATACCCATAACTTGGGAAGAACAATTTAAAGTGAATTGATGGGAGACAAACAACACTAATTTGAAAATACAACTAACCCTAAGTTAATGTTTGTAGGTCTGCCACAGCCAAGCATGGGATTCAAAAATCGTGACTAGTGCATGGTGGGTGTACCCTCGCCAGGTGAGCAAAACTGCTCCCACGGGAGAATATCTCACAGTTGGAAGCTTCATGATCCGCAGAAAGAAGAACTATCTCCCCCCTCATCCATCATGGGATTTGGTTTGTTATTCCGCTTGGATGAGAGCTCTTTGGGTGCTCATCTGAATGAACGAAGGGTAAGAGGTGAGGAAGATGGGACGAGTGATATTATTACTGAAAGTGGTCCTCCCGAGGAGGACATTTCTGATTCAGATTCCGATCAAGAGGGAACAGAAGCAGAAACCAAGGCTGATGACTGTACCATCTCCAGTTCAGAACCGAGCGACAATCCTAGTGGAAAGGGTGTTGCTTCTGTCACTCCACAACTTGAGGATATCTTCGATAGGGCTCTTGGGATTGGGGCAACTACTACATCTGGAATAAACTATACGGTTGAAGCAGCAGCTCAAACTAATATAGAAGAGGAACATGATGAGGAAGACAGAAAGGCAACAGGGAGAGATAAACCATATGTCTCAAAAGCTGAAAGAAGGAAGCTGAAGAAAGGAGGTAGAGCTGGTGGTCATACTGAGACGGAGCATCAACCAGAAGAATTAAAAGACGCTGCTGGTGTATCTGTTGATCAATCTGACACAAATATCCCGAGTAGTAAACCTGGCGGTGGAAAAGTCGGCCGTGGTCAGAAGAGCAAGCTTAAGAAGATGAAGGTGAAGTATGCTGATCAGGATGAGGAAGAGAGGCGAATTCGGATGGCATTGTTGGCTGTGAGTCTTACTGCCCTCAATATGAACTCTGCATCAACCATGTTATTCTCACATCAGATATATGAATAAATGCCCGTAAACTAAGCTCTTTATGAATAAAGTTTGTTTGAGTTTCTGCTTACTCATCAAACGGTACAATGGTCATGTTTCAGTCTGCAGGCAATGCACAGAAGACAGACGAGGAGAAAGAACAGGGGAACACAGTTACCATGAAGGAGAAGGTACCGGTCAGTGGTAAGTCTCGTAGCACATCTAATTGGATGATGATTTCATTGACACTTGTCATGCATTTTATTTTCGTATTTAAAATTATGCATGTAATGCGAAACGATTGAAATGATGCAATCTCAAATACAAAAGGGAAGTATCTCAGCCAGTATGCACTCTAGATAAGTAGTGTCAGAGCCAAAAATATGAAAGGGGATCGATGGTGGAGGAGCCAAAACTTTACAAATGGTTCTATTTCCTAGACGTGCTACAAATTTTACATGTATTTTTCACTATATTTTGGAAATCCCTCATCGCAAAATAGCTCTGCCACTGTAGATAATTGGAGTCCCATTCCAATGTCTTTTTCCACTTTTCTATCATAAAACATGCAAAATAACTAGCATGCAATTGTGACAAATGATATTCACTCCCAATCTCGTAGGTCTTGAAGATGCCCCAAAAGTGTGTTACAAGTGTAAAAAGACGGGACATTTATCTCGCGACTGCCCTGAGCTCCATGATGAAAGTTTGAGCAGTCACACGAACGATGAAGTTGAAAGTAAGTCCCGCCGTGGCGGTGGTATGGCTAAGGAAGCGGATAAGGTGGTCATGGACGAAGATGATATTCACGAAATCGGTGAAGAAGAGAAGGAGAAACTAAATGATGTGGATTACTTGACCGGAAATCCACTGCCTAATGATATTCTCTTGTATGCTGTCCCGATCTGTGGGCCTTACACAGCCTTGCAATCGTACAAGTACCGAGTTAAGATCATTCCTGGCTCTGCAAAGAAAGGCAAAGGTAAAAACTTCGCCTATTTTTATCTGCTCCTTCCAGAGGTGTGCATGATTCGGTCTGGTTCAGAATTGAATTAAATCGACGTAGGGCAGGATCAACATTAAGAAAATTGAGGATTAGAGTCCAAGCAAAAGTATTTTGGTCGGAGTCTGATCCGTTTTTTAATTTTGATCAGTCTGCCTCTGCCCGAGTCCTAGCCAGCTTTGAATTTTGATCAGTCTACCTCTGCCTTTTTCTCTAATTTTTTTAGAGGGCCTGTGGAATCTAAACAAATCAAACCGTGTTCGATCCGAACTTTTTATCTTCTCTCTATTTGTGATTGTGTTTGCCTAAGTATGGCCTTCCTGTGTACCTTGTGCAGCTGCAAAAACTGCAATGAACTTGTTTAACCACACAGCAGAGGCAAGTGCCAGGGAGAAAGAGCTGATTAAGGCGTGTACTGATCCACAACTGTTTGCCGCGATAATTGGGAACGTGAAGATTAGCGCTGCTGGGTTGACGCAATTGAAGCAGAAGCAAAAGAAAGGGAAGAAGAGCGACAAGAAGGATAACAAATAGTAATACAAGTGTTGATTTGTACATAAAAATTTCACGGAGAATTAGTGAAAAGAGATGTATCTAGTACCATAATTTTAGAAGTTCAAACTGTTTATACGATTTACTGTAACGGATATGGGATCTTTGCACTGAAAGTGGGATGCTTGGTGCTCAAGAAAGATCACAAATTACACGGATTAGAATTGCTCAATTGAAAATAATCTATTTGCATTACAACAGAGGAGAAAATCAATAAACGAGAAAAGAACGATCATTCTTCCTCTGGAGGAAGGTCGCTCAAGTCTAAACCTTCAGCAGGCATATCAGATGACAATGGCCCAAGAATCCCATCGGAATTTAGGGTCAGTCCACTCTGCAAAAAGAAGAGCATGCAACGTTGTGTTGAATGAGATTTCTTCTTAAGCCCTATAGGTATCGATCTGGTAATGGAGTTAAAACTGCACACTATTCGCTTACCTCAGGCTGAAATCTCAACATATCAGCTCGCGCCATGGCTTCCGCTTGAGCGATTCTCTGCCGGAATGTCTGGGCCATCTCCTCAGCCTGTTCAAGCATTGTCAAAAGGGAAGGATCCGTGATCCGGAAATCGCAAAACCGAAGTGGCCAACAAAGCCAGTAACCTCGAATTCTGTGTAGAAACAGAACGTTCATGATAAAATTTTCAGTTCCGAGAATTACCTTCTCAAAAACAAGCTTTGGGTTGCGGATCATATCGCCAGGGGTGGGCTCCAGCTTCTTGGTAGAAAGACTCACACGACCTCTCTCACGATCATGGCTTAGAATCATGACCTGCACGACAAGAAAACTTATTGCCTCTCTCCTACTAGCTTAGGTGGAAAAAGGGACCTGAAGGACAGTGACCATAATGATGATCAATAGATGACTACACTAAGTTACTAACCTTGAGAGTATCTCCAGGTTGAAGAACTGTTGCAATGTCAGCCACACGATCGTGACTAATTTGACTCACATGGAGAAGGCCATTGATTCCACCGATATCAATAAATGCACCATACGGTTTCAGACTCTGCACCGTTCCAGTGACCACCGATCCAATACCAAGCTGCGCTTGACTATCAGCCATGGCCTTCCTGTTGCTGAATACAAGTCTAGACTGTTCCTCATCGACATCAACAAACTTCAATGGGAGCTCCTTATCGAGGAGTTCGTCTGCTGTTAATTTCTGCAGGGGGAAGGTCAAAACTTCGAATCACCGGATGATCAAGCAATCCTTCAAATTGAGCAGTCCATTGACTAACACACCACCCGGAAAGTGGTAACTTGCCAACATTGAATCAAACTCTAGAGATGTGAAAAGGACTATCCATAATGCAAAGAACTCACTGATGATATCTGCGAAAATGGAACGAATCCTCGCATGCCCTCCACCACAGCAACTACTCCACCTTTGTTTGCACCAACAACCTGCAAAATGCGAAATCGAACATTTTCCCACTTGCTGACGAAGAAGTTCGAAAAACTGTGGGGAAAACTTCGAGAGGTCCGAAGTCAAGTCACTCACCTTACCCTTCACAATGACATCCTCAGCTTGAAGTTGCCTACACCTTTCCCAAGCGAGATCATACTGAGTCATCTTCAAGCTCAAGATCAGGCTATCGTCGTCCTCATTCTCACCGATGATTACAAACTCTTCCCTCATTCCAGGAAGTATGCCAGCTTCCTCCACATGCTTCAGCTTGTGAATGGACGCCTCTTGCAATGGCAAATACGCGGAGGACTTGGCAGTGATGTCGACGAATGCGCCATTCGCGTCAGTCATGAAAACCGTTCCCTTCACCTGAATTAGCAAAATTTGAATAAAAAATTCCCCACACATTACATTCTAGAACCAGAAAAAGCTTCGAATTCCCACATTGCTATCAGGTAAAAGAGCGGAGGGGGAAGAGGAAGAAGAGAACCTTGGTGCCAATCTCGGAATTGAAGTCGTAGTTGTCGAGAGCAGCGATGAAATCCTTGGCGGTGAACGAAACTCCTTCCATGGGAGCGGTACGGCAGCGCTCGTAAGCGTCCTCGAAGAGCTGCTTCAGCTCTTGCCGGTCTTTGGTCTGTGCATTTGATATTGCGACGGCCGACACGATGAAATTGGACTTTCTGCCGGAGCGAGATGTCCGGAAGGATGAAACCCCGACAGCGGCGGCCCTTCTGGCTAGGTGAGAAGTCGAGAGCGGCGGGCATCGGAGTCCGGCGAACTGCTGCTGGGCGATTGTCGCCATTGCTAACTCTGGCTGCTTCTCCTTTCCCTCTGGTTCAGAGTCTACGTGGATGGCTTCCGGTTTCTGTTTTTTTTGCTTTCTCAGTCGGTCAGTCTCAGCCGGATAAGAAATTATGAGATTAGATCGCGAGACATCACTGGGCTTGGATTGGGCTTGCTTCGCCTTCAGCCTTATTTCATTGGGCTCGATGCACGGCCCAGGTACAAATGACAATTGACAAAGTGATTTAGTTAAGGATGAGAACCATGTCCGTTGGATCTTGATTATAATACAAAGGACTGATCTGACGGTACAAATTGACTTAATCAGTTGACTAAGCACATGGGATTAGTCATCAAATCTGTACACGAGATATATTAAAAAAATATTTTAAAATTCGTACATTAGCTGCCTAGTTAAGTTTATGCCTTCATTGATTTCCTCTTTCAGTCTCACCCGACACCCGAAGCTCGAAAACAAGAGAGAAGCGTTGAAGTCAAGGAAGGAGCGGAGATGGAAGAAGGAAAAGGAGAAGTGAAGCACGTCCTGCTCGCCAAGTTCAAGCCGGAGATTTCAGCCGAGGAGATCGAAAACCTGATCAAGGGTTACTCCAATCTGGTCAATCTCATCGAACCCATGAAGGGTTTCCACTGGTAATAATGTGTATAGATAGAATCATCCATCTACCCGGTTTTTATTTCCCCTCAATTCACGATATGGATCTGATGAGTGAGGATTCTTCGAGCAGGGGAACGGATGTGAGCATCGAGAATCTGCACCAGGGGTTCACTCACGTCTTCGTCTCCACTTTCGAGAGCACTGAAGGGATCGCGGAGTACGTGGCTCATCCTGTCCATGTCGAGTTCGCCAACAAGTTCTTGCCTGCCCTCGACAAAGTCCTGGTCGTCGATTACAAGCCCACATCAGCTTAGAATTGATTGGATTGGATTGGATTGGATTGGCTCTGATCGGATTGATCAATGTTCGTAATCAAAACTCTGTTTACTGGTCAAATTATCGTGTTTTCTGCCGTCACTGAACTTGAATGTTTGTTGTGTGGATTGGATTCTCTCGTTGCTTCCAAAATCGGTTATCTGGTTTTGTGTATTTGGTAAGATTTGTCTGTCTATTTCAGCTTTTGTTTCTGGTGCTTGCAAGAATTTGAGAATAAAGCGGAGACGCCTGCAAAGTGTTTGATGAAAGTTCCGAGATTGTTGCTTGGCGTTCCCTGTTTTCTGCGCAGCTATATGATCCGGTTATGCTGCTAAAAACAGACGTGCTTGTCGAAAAGGCGTTAACGAGCCACATTACTCATCCAAATGTGTATGGATGACGAAGGCTGAACAATGTGGAGGACAATTAACAACTCTCCACCTTCTTCCATTGGTTTGCCCAAACGATCTTAACAAAGTTTTGCTCCGCGATGAAGCAGTAGCTCAAGGGCCTTCATCTCCTTTGCTATTCAATCCATCACGCTATGTTGTGACAATCAATCAGTCATAGCTAATTGAGTTGTGATTGTCATGCTATTCTCTAGACAGTCTTCTGCTATCCAAGTCTGGGTTAGATAAACAAGTAATCGAGAAGAATTAAGGGGTCATTTGGTTTGGTTGCTGCGATCGATTTTTTGTGCCAAATTAAGACGCAATGTATTGCATTTAGAATCACAACTTATAGATTAGATTGTTTGAGATTATTTTTTGTGATTATGAATTTTTCTCTCTTTTTATGAGTCCGTCAATTTATATGTATATTACCTCCCTATTTGTAACCATAAGGGACGTGTCGGTTTTTTTTCCTCCAAAAGATCACTCGTATTACCGAGAAAGCCAGATACAAGAAGTCATACGGATGAATATAGCAAAGAAACAAAATCGAACCCTACTAAAGAAGGTAACATCGAAAGGGCCTTTCTTGGCACCAAATGGACAACCCTGTTACAATCTCTACCAACAAACCGGATACTAAATATAAAAAATGAATGCATCAAGCTTCTAATCTCGTCCAAGACCATGCCACCCTGAACATCATCAACCTGACCTTCCCGAATCCATCGAATCACCACTTGGGCATCTCCGGCAAAGATGACTGAATGTAGTCCACGTGCCAAACACCAACGAATTGCATCTCGAAAAGCTAACAGCTCCACCAGAGGGAGGTCAAAAATTCCCACATATAATGTTGTCGAAGCCTCCACTACCATGCCTGGCGGATCCTGCAAAACTCAGCCACCCGCCCCGTGTGAACCATGCAGAGTGGCTCCATCGACAAACAACACCAGCTCCCCATGCGGCACCGCTTCCGTAGCCGAGGGGGGAGGACCCCCGAGACCTAAAAGAGGCCGACGCTGGTTATCGGGAATGGAATCCCACTCTGAGACCTGCAAGCAAAATTGTGAGAGCAAAATAGGGACAATGAACTGTGTAAACTAAAAAACTACCCAATTTCGAGCACGCCAAAAAAGAGCCACAACCCTCATTATCGTGCTCCGATCCAGATCCCCCCCCCCCCCCCCCCGCACGAGTACTCAGTGCCTCACTAGTCGGCAAGACACCACGGACTAGCTTCCATATAAAATATCGCAGTTTGGGAGGTATAGGAGTGCCCCAAAATCGTTTCCCAAGGCTACGGTCCCATGCATGAGCGACCTCCTTCACCTTGAGCTCATTTCGACGTCTTAACTCGACTGCCTTATGATAACCAAATTTGACAGTATAACACCCCGAAACTTCTCCATCCCAGACCAGACGATCAGCCACAGCTTTAATGGGTAGAGGAATGGCTAAAATTGCTTTGACCGTGTCCTCTTCAAAGATTTGACGGAGGCAATCTACTCTCCAGACTCCCTGATTAGGACAAATCAAAGACGCCACCTTCCCTTCCACACCGATAATACCCTGACGGGGTTTTGGGAGAAAAGGATGCAGAGCCGACACCCAATTATCCATGAGTAATTCTACCGAGTCACCTGCACCAATTTTCCATCTGAGCCCTTGTAGTTGTAGAAGTAGTAACGACCTCAGAGTATCCCCCGCCAAACCCATGATGGTAAAGATCCCATCTTTGCACGCAAGATAATGGAATTCAGAAAGTATTTCCCTTTATACAGACGAGCTAACGAGTTGGGTTCCTTCGGGATTC